CCCCCCCCCCCCCCCCTCCCCTCCCAAAGTGTATGCTCGCCTTTCTCTCACCTCCGCTCACCTCCGCTCACCTCCGCTCACCTCCTCGACGCCGCCCCCCCGCACACTGCATCCCGATCCCTCTGACACACGCACGAACACACGCACGAACACACGCACGCCCTCCCTCCCCCCCACCCCACCCCACCCCACTGCCCGGCCCTCGCAGAATCATGTCTTCCCACAACAACCCCATGCACAAGGCCGACGCCCAGAAGGGTGCCCGCCCCGCTGCCAACGCCCAGACCCAGTCCCAGAAGGGTGCCGCTGGCAAGGACTGCAACACCAAGGACCAGGCCTGCAACACCCGCTCTGCCAAGGCCAACGCCGCTTGCCCCACCTCCAAGCAGCAGGGTGCCCACAACACTCGCTCTCAGCGCGATTAAATCGCCTGCCTGAGTGCGGGCCCTCTCTCCGCCCATTGCCGTGGAGCTGTCGGGCCCCGTTGCAAATAGGCGCGCAACCCAGGCCACATGTGACGTCCTTTGCCCTCTCTTCCGTCCGCCCGTGTATATCATCTCAGGGGCCGGATTGGCGAGCGAGGACACGGGGAGCGCCCATGTGTGTGCATGTGGAGGAGTGCCAATGGCAGCGTGTGACCACAGTCCCACACCCCGCGGACGGGGGGAGGCCGGGTGCAAGCTTCGGACATCTGTGAGCGTCCAATGGCCGTTCCCAGGAGCGCCCGAGGCCCTGGCCCTGCTCCTCCCCCCCGTCAGTCGGGCAGTGGAGAGACAAGGTTGTCGTCTCGCTGCGACCGAGAGAGAGAGAGAGGGAGACCGAAAGAGGTCCCCCCCCCTCCCTCCCTCTCGGCCGCATCCCTCCCTCCGGAGGAGATCCCGGTGTGACGCGCGGCGCATCCCATTCGCGCTGCGCGCGCTGCTCCTCTCTCCCCCTATTTTGGCCGGGGAAGGGGGGGGCGCGCCGGTCTGGGACACACCACGCACGTGCTGCATGCAAAAATGCGCCCGTGTGTGGCCCCCAGGTCTGGGCTCCCCCCTCCCGTCAAAATAATAAAACTGACACAACCCAGAAAAAAGCGCACACCAGAGATGGCGTCTGTGCGTGTGTCTCCCAGGGGGGATGTGTGGGAGAGGGTCCCTGAGCGCGCCAGAGAGAGAGAGAGAGGTGTGCGGTAAGGTGGAAGTGGGGGGGGGGAGAACACCAGGGGGGTGCAGGAGAAACAAGAGGAGGGGGGAGAACACATCCAGGCCCTGTTCTCGGTCGGTTGACAGGGGGGCGGGGGGGGCAAGGCATGTGAAGGAAAGTGCATTGTGCCTCAGCAGGAAAAGCATGGGGGCGGGAGGGAGGGGAGAGATGAGGCGCGCGCGCGCGCGCGTGTGTGTGTGTGTGTGTGACGATGTAGCTGCTCGTGCGAGAGCAGCGCGCGCCACAAAGCTCATGGGCCCTCTCCCCTCCGCAAGAAAGGAGAAAAAGGAGAGAAAGGAGCAAGTACAGGGGA